AGGGCACTTGTTGGGGGGGCACTGGGTGTTATATGGAAACCAACTTGACAATAAACTAACTACTCAAGAAAAAAAAATAGGTATTCTCCTTCAACTATTCCAAAAAATAGAAGATGATGGAAAACTTCCAAATACATTCTACAAGGCCAGCATTACCCTGATACCAAAACCAGACAAAGACACTGCCAACCTATAGACCAATATCCCTGGTGAACATAGATGCAAAAAGCCTCAACAAAATAGTAGCAAACCACATTCAACAATACATTCACCACAACCAAAATGAATTAATTCAGGGATGCAAGGATGCTTCAATAGTCAGAATATCAATGTAATACACATTAACAAAGTGAAGGATAAAAATCATATGATCATGTCAACAGGTACAAAACAGGATAAAATTGGCTATCTGTTCATGATAAAAACTCTCAACAAAGTGGGTTTAGAGGAAACATACCTCAATATATAAAGGCCACATATGAAAAGCCCACAAGCTAACATCATACTCAATGGTGAAAAATAGAGCTTTTCCTCTAAGACCAGGAACAAGCCAGGGATGCCCACTCTTGCCACTGGAAGTTCTGGTCATAGCAATCAGACAAGAATAAAAGGCATCCAGGGGCGCCTGGGTGGCTTAGTCGGTTAAGCGTCCGACTTTCGCTTAGGTCATGATCTCGCGGTTCGTGGGTTCGAGTCCCGCGTCGGGCTCTGTGCTGACTGCCAGCTCAGAGCCTGGAGCCTGTTTCAGAGTCTGTGACTCCCTCTCTCTCTGACCCTCCCCTGCTCACGCTGTCTCTCTCTCTCTCTCTCCTAGAAATAAATAAAAAACATTAAAAAAAAAAAAAGAATAAAAGGCATCCAAATTGTTAAGAAGGAAGTAAAACTCTCACTATATGCAGACAACATAATAGCATACACAAAAAACCCCAAGACTCCACCAAAAGTAATAATAAAGGAATTCAATAATGTTACAAAATACAAATTAATATACAGAAATCTGTTGCATTTCTATACAATAATGAAGTCGCAGAAAGGGAAATTAAGAAAACAATTCCACTTATAACCACACCACAAAGAATAAAATAGGAATAAACTTAACCAAGGAGGTCAAAGTCCTATACTCTGAAAACTATTAAAACACTGCTGGAAGTGAAGGTAACACAAAGAAATGGAAAGATATTCTACTATCATGGACTTGATGAATTAATATTGTGAACATGACCATACTACCAAAGCAATCTACAGATTCAGTGCAATCCCTATCAAAATACTAACAGTAGTTTTCACAAAACTGTAACAAATAATACTATAATTTGTATGGTAGCACAAAAGAACCTGAATATCCAAAGCAATTTTGAGAAAGAACAAAGCTGTAGGCAACACACTTGCCAATTTCAAGATATACTATAGGGACACACCTGGGTGGTTGAGTCAGCTAAGGGTCCAACTCTTGATTTCTGCTCAGGTCATGATTTCACAGTTCATGGGACTGAGCCAACAGTGCAGAACCTGTTTGGGATACTCTCTCTTTCTCCCTCTGCCTCTCCCCCTTGCTCAATCTCTCTGTCTCTGTCTCTCTCTCAAAATAAACAAACATTAAAAAAAAAACCATATACTACAATGGTTTAATAATCAAAACAGTACTGTACTGGCATAAAAATAGACACATATACCATAAATATACTCCCATTTATATATGGTGGTCAATTAATCTTCAACAAAGGAGGCAAGAATATCAAGTGGGGAAAAGTCTCTTCAACAAATGGTGTTGGAACAATCCTAAAATTTGTATGGAACAAAAGACCCTGAATAGCCAAAGTAATGTTGAAAAAGAAAATAAAGCAGGAGGCATCAGAATTACAGACTTTAGCCTCTAGTATAAAGTTTGTAATCATCAGGACAGTATGGAATTGGCACAAAAACAGACACATAGACCAATGGAATAGAGAACCTAGAGTTGGACCCACATATGTATGGCCAACTAATCTTTGACAAACCAGGTAAGAATATCCAATGGAAAAAAGTCTCTTTAGCAAATGGTGCTGGGAAAACTGGACAGCAACACACAACTGGACAGCAACACACAGAAGAATGAAAACAGACCACTTTATTACAAAAAAATAAACCCAAATGGATGAAAGACCTAACTATGAGACAGAAAACTATCAAAATCCTAGAGGAGAAAACAGACAACAACCTCTTTGACTTCAGCCGCAGTAACTTCTTACTTGACATGTCTCTAAAGGCAAGGGAAATAAAAGCAAAAATGAACTACTGGGACCTCAAAAAACTTCTATACTGCAAAGGAAACAATCAACAAAACAAATGAAAATAGAATGGGAGAAGATATTTGCAATGACACAACAGATAAAGGGTTAGTATCCAAAATCTATAAAGAGGGGCACCTGGTGGCTCAGTCGGTTAAACCAAAATCTATAAAGAACTTACCAAACACCCAAAAAACAAATAATCCAGCGAAGAAATGGACAGAAGATATGAACAGTTTTCCAAAGAAGATACCCAGAGAGCCAACAGACACATGAAAAGATGCTCAACATGGCTCATCATCAAGGAAATGCAAATCAAAACCACACTGAGATATCACCTCACACCGGTTAGGGTGGCTAAAATTAACAACTCAGTAAACAACAGATTTGGCAAGGATGTGGAGAAACAGGAACCCTCTTGCACAGTTCGTAGGAGTGCAAACTGGTACAGCCACACTCTGGAAAACAATGTGGAGGTTCCTCAAAAAGTGAAAAATAGAAATTACCCTACGACCCAGCAATAGCATTACTAGGAATTTATCAAAAGGATACAGGAGTGCTGATTCATAGGGTCACATGTACCCCAATGTTTACAGCAGTGCTATCAACACCCAAATTACAGAAAGAGCACAAACGACCATCAACTGATGAAAGGATAAAGAAGATGTGCTTTATCTATACAATGGAATAAATACTGCCTAGCAATGAGAAAGAATGAAATCTTGCCATCTGCAACAGCATGGACGGAACTGGAGAGTATTATGCTAAGTGAAATAAGTCAGAGAAAGATAAGTATGTTTTCACTCATATGTGGAATTTGAGAAACTTAACAGAAGACCTTGGGGGAAGGGCAGGGGGAAAAATAGTTTCAAATAGAGAGGGAGGCAAACCATAAGATGCACTTAAATACAGAGAACAAGCTGGGGGTTTATGGGGGATGAGGAGCAGAGGGGAAAATCGGCGATGGGCACTGAGGAGGGTTCTTGTTGGGATGAGCAATGGGTATTGTATGTAAGCAATGAAATCATGGGAATCTATTCCCAAAGCCAAGAGTACACTGTTAACACTGTATGTTAGCTAACTTGACAATAAATTATATGAAAAACAAATAAAAGAAAAAATATAAAGTTGGTTACCAATAGAAAAAAAACAAAACCAAAAAAAATGGTGTTGGGTAAAGTGGACAACCACATGCAAAAGAATTAAAATGGACAGCTTTCTTCTACCAAACACAAAAATAAATTCAAGATGGTTTAAAAACCTAAATGTGAGACATGAAACCAAAAAACTCCTAGAAGAAAACATAAGCAGTAATTTCTGACATTGGCCTTAGCAATACTTTTCTAGATAGGTCTCCTCAGGGAAGGAGGGTGTTTATTGTGCACAAAAGCAAAAATAAACTATTGGGACTACACCAAAATAAAAAGCTTTTGAATAGCAAAGGAAACCATCAACAAAATGAAAAGGCAATTTGCTCAATGGGAAAAGATATTTGCAATGATATATCTAGTAAAAGGCTCACGTCCAAAATATATAAAGAACTTCTATAACTCAACACTAAAAAAACCAAATAATCCAACTTAAAAATGGGCAGAAGACCTGAAAAGTCATTTTTCCAAAGACATACAGATGGCCAAAAGACATGTGAAGAGATGCTCAACATCACTAATCATCAGGGAAATGCATATCAAAACCACAATCTGAGAGATTACTCACACTTCTCAGAATGGCTGGAAACAAAGACAAGAAAATAACAAGTGTTAGCAAGGATGTGGAGAAAAAGGAACCCTCATGCACTGCTAGTGGAAACATTAATAAGTGCAGCCACCGTGGAAAACAATATGGAGGTTCCTTAAAAAATTGTAAATAGGAATACCTATGACCCAGTAAATCCACTACTGGATATTTATGCACAGAAAATAAAAACACTAACTAGAAAAAAATACATGCACCCCTATGTTTACTGCAGCATTACTGAAAAGCCAAAAACCAAGACTGTGGCTATAAGACCCAGAAACTGCAGTGGATCACTTGGCACCTCACTGTACAATGTCACTAGTATTATAAAATAGAACACTTGCGTTGTAATTGGAGTAATAATAGCTTCCAGCTCCTTTCCTGGCCCACCACAGGACTGTGCTTCATGCCTTGACTTGTGTTCAAATGTGATTCATCTGGGCAATGAGTTGAATAGAAAATGTATCATTTCTAGGCATTTAACTGATGGTCTAAGACCATGCAAAATGCCCCCTCTGCAATAGCAATCAGTCTATGATGAGAAGGCTTCTCCTGCTGACTTGAAATGAACAGAGTACGAGAGACACATAAATCTTGTTTGAGTCAAATCAGATGTACACCACAGCATAACCTAGACCACCTGGATTGATAAAGTAAGGGGCGCCTGGGTGGCTCAGTCAGTTGAGCGGCCAACTTTGGCTCAGGTCATGATCTCACGGTTGTCTTCAAGCCCCGCATCAGGCTCTGTGCTGACAGATCGGAGCCTGGAGCCTGCTTCGGATTCTATGTTTCCCTCTCTCTGCCCTTTCCTCTCGTGCTCGGTCTCTCAAAAAACAAATAAATGAAAAAAAAAAAAAAAAGCCAGTCATCTCCCAAGAACTAACATGTTTCCTGTCACTTACGTTAATACAAACAAAACCATCAACTTTTGACCAAATATTATGTAGTACTACATTATTAGTAAGTACAGTGGACAAATAAATGGGACATATTTACCTAAGGTCCTTCCTACCCCGAGAGCAAGGCGAACATGAGCTAGTTTGAGGTGCCTTTTGACTCGCTCAATCATGGTTGCCAAGGAAGCAGGTTCATCCAGTGTGCACAACCGTCCCATCCCAGTTTGTGGAAGTGGAGGCTGAAGAAAAACACAAGTTAGAAAAACTGTCCATCTAAGTCCTAGAAGCATATAGCAAATACTGAGATCAATAAAACATGCACACTGTGAGCTTACTATAGCCAGCTCCAGGTTAAAATTCAGGGATGCAAACCTGACAAAAACATTCTGACTTCCAAGAGTTCAGTCTCCTGAGAGGCAAATGTGTAGCTAAATAATCAAAATAAAAGTGTTTAAATACAATACAGGTACCATTTTATGGGAGCACAAAGAAATGATATATATAAAGAAATGACAAAATATATGAGCTGGGACTTGGGGCGGGGGAAGTCCGCTTGGAGGAAGTGGAATCAAAGGTTTTACCAAAACTTAGGCCTCCTAGACCAGAAAAAAGTTAAAAAATTTAAAAAAGGGGAGGGTGAGTAACGTCAAGTACGGTGTGGTAGGAAATGGACAGGGTAAAATGTGAAAAGGTACGAGCTTTCCTGTGGAAAGGTAGATCCTGGAGCAGAAACTACAGCTGATGTGCAGAGCAAGGAATGGAGACAGAGGCCATGGCTAGTACACTATGCAAAAAACCATGGACTGTCACCCTTCACGTGCCACTAGGGAGACTGCTCCTCTTTTGTCACCTGGAATAGGAGAGTTTCAACTACTGTGGTGACAAAGCAAATAGAGAAGAGACACATTCTATAAATTTGGGGACAGAATCAGTAGGCATGGATTTATGAGAGGCAAGGGAGAGTTGTGTAAACTTGGATAATCAGGTAGAAGATGACACCAATGAAATAGAAGAAAGTAATATTCAAAGGCAAGATGTGGGGATAAGGTCAATATTTGTATATACTGAAGTATCTGTGGAATCCATTAAGTAAAAAATGTCCAGAGAATTCTAGGATATATGGGTTCGGTTTGTAAGTTTTTACCTTAAGAAAGCATTCTGAGCCAGAAAGTAAAGATACAGAAATCACCATATAGCTGTCAAGTTAAACAAGCAAATAAAATGGTCTAGGCAGAGGGTATAAAAGAGATAGAAGAATCTGTGACCGAGTCTCTAACCCTAAAAAGTACCCCTATGTGATACTGGGTGTCAGCTATACTTAAGTAAAACACATTAAAAAAAAAGTACTATACTAGGGCACCTGGGTGGCTCAGTTGGTTAAGCATCTGACTTGGACTCAGGTCATGATCTCATGGTTTGTGGGTTTAAGCCCAATGTCCAGCTCTGTGCTGACAGCTCAAAGTCTGGAGCCTGCTTCAGATTCTGTGTCTCCCTCACTCTGCCCCTCCCATACTCACTCTGTCTCTCTAAAAAAACAAACATTAACACACACACACACACTACACTATGATTCGAATGTATCTGTCCCTGCACAAATTCCTATGCTGAAATCCTAATCCCCAAAAGTGATGGTATTAGCAAGTGGAGCCTTTACGGGTTACTTAAGTCATGAGAGGGGAGACCACATGACTGGGATTAGCTTAAAAAATAGGCTCCATGAAAGATCCCTAGTCCTTCCCATTACGTGAGGACACAGAGATAAAGCAGCACTGATGAATCAGGAAGTGGGCCTTCTCCAGATACCACTCCAAATCTTGTCAGCACCATGATCTTGGAAATTCCCATGCTCCAGAATTGTGAGACATAAATTTCTGTTGCTCATAAGCTATCCAGTCTGAGATATTTTTTCACAGCAGCCCAAATGTGTTATAGCAGTCTGAATGAACTAAAACTTCTGCCAACACTTTCCCATTCCTGGAATGTCTCCCTTTCTAAAAACAGTGTATTTTCCAGGGCATTTTATGTCCTCAACACCACCTTATACTTCTTTAGGTAACAGTTAACAGTTTCTTGATATAACAACTTACAAATGAATTTGCCAAACAAAAATGCACAGTAATATATTTTTATTACCTTCTCCAGTAACAGAATTTCAGTCTTCTGATAGAATTGTCTGTTCTGGGAAAGAAAAGCCACCACCTGTAACAAAGCCTCTTGACTACAATTCAGACTAATCCGTGTTTGTTCTTCATCATCAGTCCTATTTAAAAAAAAAAAATCACCTGCTATTTTAGGACGAATATAAGTAAAACATATTATAAATAATCCACACTTTACAACTTCCTATAATAAAGATTAAATTTACATGAAATTTAGGGGACACTTGGGTGGCTCAAGCAGTTAAGCATCTGACACTTGATTTTGGCTCAGGTCATGATCTCAGTTTGTGGGCTCAAGCCCCACATCAGGATCCTTACTGACAGTGAAGAGATGGCTTGGGATTCTCTCTCTCTCCCTCCCCCACTTGCTCTCTCAAAATAAACTTAAAAAAAAAAAAAAAAAAATTTACATGAAATTAAGAATTCAATCCCAAACTTTTTCAAAAATACTATTTCTCAAGGACACCTGGGTGGCTCAGTTGGTTAAATGTCAGACGCTTGACTTCTGCTCAGGTCATGATCTCTCAGTTTGTGAGTTCCAGACCCCAGTCAGGCTCTGTGCTGACAGTGCAGAGCCTGCTTGGGATTCTCTGTCTCTCCCTCTCTCTCAAAATGAGTAAACTTAAAAAATAATTATTTCTCAAATTTCAGCATGCATCCAAATCTCCCTATAGACTTAATAAAACAGAATGTTGACCTTCATGCCCAGAGTTTCAGATTCAGTAGGTCTAGGCGGGGTCTTAGAATTTACCTTTCTAACAAGTTCCAGGTGATGCTGATAATGCTCATTCAGGGACCTCACTTTGAAACTACTATTCTAGAACTGTTCTTAACCCCAGGTGTGCATCAGAAATCTGCTAGCTTCTTGAAATGATGGCTAGTGGACCCTTCTACAGAGCCAATGAAACAGAACTTCTATCAATGGGGCTAGGGCAAACTAAATTTCTTATTTTCAAAAACGGTATTTTCTTTTTTTCTTATGTTTATTTTTGAGAGAGAGAAAGCGCTCAAGGGAGGGGCAGAGAGAATGGGAGAGAGAGGATCCAAAGCAGGCTCCAAGCTGACAGCAGCAAGCCCAATGTGGGGCTCAAGGTCACAAACCATGAGATCATGACCCAAGCCAAAGTTGGACACTAAACCGAGCCACCCAGGTGCACCCAAACTGTATTTTTTTAAGGTCCTAAAAGAAGTTAATTTTTCAAATCACTGAAACAAGAATCTCCTGGACAGATTTTCAGGCAAACCCCATTCTAATTATATAGCTCTAGAATGAAGCCAAAATTCTGTTGGAGGTCTTGACACTGAGAAGTAATGCCCTAAAACATCTCCAAAAAGACTGATATTAGAAAAGCTTTCTATTTAACCATAAACTCTAAATATAATCATAAAATTCTATAACTGAAAGACAGCTTAAAAGAATCTGGAAGAGTGACTGTCAACACTGGAATCATCTGTAGAGCTTTGAAAAGAAAAAGGAAAAACTGCCTGGACCTCAGTCTAATCACAAATCCCAAATTTACCCATAATAAGGAAAAACTAAAACCAAACTAAATGTGCATCAGTTTAAAAAAAGGGGGAGAGGTGCCTGAGTGGCTCAGTTGGTTGAGTGTCTGACTCTTGATTTCAGCTCAAATCAAGATCTCTTGGTTTCATGAATTAGGAGCCCACCATCAGGCTCTGCGCTACCTGCTTGGGATTCTCTCTCTCCCTTTCTCTTTGCCCCTCCCCAGCTCACGTGGTCTCGGTTTCTCACAAAATAAACAAACTTTAAAAAAAAAAAAGTAAAAAGCTCATCAGTTAGGAAGAGAAATGCTTCAAGGAACTCCAGTAGATCCATAATAAGAAACACTACATAGCAGTTAAAGACATCTTCTATACCTACATCGAAAGATCTCTAAGACATCTTATTCAGTAAAAGAGGCAAATGCAGCATATCATTTAATTAACAATTTTAAAAAAAACACAAAAATATACATTTCTCCATGTTTGCTGTACGTGTTTGGAAAGATACCCACTTCTCTGAAAACAAAGGAAAAGGTAACCTGAATTGAGGATATTGGAATTGAGTAGAAGGAACAAGGAGGACTTTTACACTATTTGAAATTTTCATGATGTGTATAATTTTTTTAATTTCAGTACTTACACAGTATTTCAATATGGTAAAAGACATCTATAACTGGAATCTATACAAAGTTCTATAATTTTTCTTGAGATTCTTTAAATTCCTCAACACTATTAGAATGCATTTGCAATGATTTTATTACAAGGTATCTATACTTAAAAATCACTCACAAGAGTCTCTTTTTGTTGTAACCTGAACAGTTCTCCATCTTATTAAAGTCGTTACAGGGGCACCTGGGTGGCTCCATCGGTTGGGCATTCAACTTCGGCTTAGGTCATCATCTCGCAATTCGTAGGTTCGAGCCCTGCATCAGGCTCTGTGCTGACTGCCAGCTCAGAGCCTGGAGCCTGTTTTGGATTCTGTGTCTCCCTCTCTCTCTGACCCTCCCCTGCTCATGCTCTCTCTGTCTGTCTGTCTCTCAGAAATAAATAAAACATTTTTAAAAAATTTTTTAAATAAACTATTTTTTAAAAAAGATGTTAGGATAAATTAGCTTCAAAGAAAATCTCCTAAAGACACCATTTTGGTATCTCTGCCCTAAATAAATGATTGGCCTTATAAGAGGCCCCAGAATGTCTTTTTCCGTTAAAGTGCTTGAGAATCATTGATCTGCTTGAAACTGGTAAAACTATGTAATCAGTGTGCCAGTAGGGCTTATCTATATACTCTAAAGTAAAAACCACCTTTCAACATTATGAGGGGAATTAGAAACTTTGTAAATAAAAGGCATAGTATAGTCTCTCCCACCTAGAAAATCTAAGTGTTACTTGTCATTTTTATTATTTCGAAAAGAATCCCATGGTTCTCCTAGAGCACCTACATGCAAATAAGAAGTACGCTGCCTTGTAAACCCACCCTGGGGGAAAACAATTTGTTTCAGACCGCAATACTACAGTTAAGATCCTTACAGATAAATACACACAAAAAAGAAGAAAAATATATCATACCTAGTAGAAAAAGAAGTGACAGAAACATCTTGAATTTCTTTCACTGCAGAAATGACTTTGTCCAGGTGTTGGGTGCAGTTAACACTGAATTCTACTCTGTGCGTTCCCACCGTAGGGTAGTTGGGAGCTTTGGAAGGATGAATAGGCCTGGAGGTACAAACTCCTAGGAATAAAATTGTGGGTTTTTTTTTTTTTTTTTTATTAAAAAGATAAACTATTATGGGCAAAATTTTAAGAAATGAGCTTTTAAAGACTGATGCTTAAATATATGTACATGTATATATCCTTTGCACATATGTTCAAAGTCCCCATAATCTAGTGATTTAGTATTGACACATAAAATCAAATTTATTTTCAGAATTATTTTCCAGAAGACTCGTAAATATCACAAAAACTTGACTCATGCAATTTTAGATGATATATAGAATTGCGACTGCTTACTAAATGTATTCATGTAAACCATTATTCAGGTTGCAAATGCTCATAACTACTTGACCACATCAATTCAGATTATGTCATCATAAAAGGCTCAGCCCCAAATGAGTAAAATAAAACAACTAACTAAAAATAAAGCTAAAACACATAGGCTGAATTCCATCACTGTGCTGGGCATGAGTAAGCATTCAATGAAAATCTGATTTCTACCTAACTGACATACAAAGAATATTCTGGAGAGATCTGAGCTTTCAACTCAATTTAACAAGCACTTCTTGAATTTCTGGGTTGCTAGGCACTGAGCCACGTGAGTGAGGATTCAAAGCTCAGGCCAGCAATGAAGATTTCCTGTGCTCTCCTTATTCATTAAGGATGAAAATTCTATTATTCAAATGCAATTTAATGGCCAGATTTCACAACATTATTTTTAAATATATAAAAATAAAACGCTACCCACATCTAAAGCAGTTAAAATTTTACTGGAAAGACATTCTAAAATTTCAAAGCATTTGTAGGGAAAATACTAAACATGAAAGAGTCTTCTCACCAAGCCCTTTAGCCAACCAGCTATTGACTCCCTGGGGTGCAGCATCATAGGCTGTGTGAGGAGAGTAAATACCAACTCTGTTTTCCAGAGCCCGGATCACTAGGCGCTCCTTCCAGGTTTTCCAGGTTATGTGCTTCAAGGGTCGGAAAATAGGCGGATGGTAGGAGAGAATGAGATCCGCCTTCTTTTGCAGTGCCTCCTCCATCACTTCCTCCGTCAAGTCATTGGTAAGGAAGAGTGTGTTTACAGTGTGTGGTGGGCTTGGTTCCACCAATAATCCAACATTGTCCCAACTCTCAGCAAGTGAGAGGGATGCAAAGTCATTCAAGGAGGAAAGGAGAACCTTCAAATCCATGAAGGAACGGGAAGAGCTGCAGATGAGGGAATGAACAAGCCGGACTGTTGTGGGAATGAGGCGTACACGAGATAACAACATACAGAAATCAGGTAAAACTGGGGTGCCTGGGTGGCTCAGCTGGTTGAGCGTCTGACTCTTGATTTCAGCTCAGGTCACGATCCCAGAGTCGTGGGATCAAGCATTGAGCTCCCCACTGAGCATGAAGCCTGCTGAAGATTCTCCCTCTGCCCCTCTCCCCTGCTTGAGCACTAACAACAACAAAAAAAGAGAGAGAGAGATCAGGTAAAACTGAGTATCTGAGGTCAATACACAAGGAATGGTATATATATACACTTTAAGCCTGGACCTTTGAGGTAGCAAAGCATGGGAGCAAAAGAGCCGTAGTCACGTATTCCTGGGTTCAAACACTGATTCTGCCACTTACCAGCATATGGTATCTTAGGTAAGTCACTTAGCTTCTCTGAGGTTGTTTCCTCATTTACCAAATGGGAGATACTATAACCAAAATATAAGGCCATCTATAGAAGCAAATCAATTAATATGTGTAAATCACCTAGCACAAGCCTGGTACATAACACACAAATGTTCATTCCCACCTCCTCAGCCCCCAACACACCCTAGTTTTCTCCCCATCCTTGCTTCAACCACCCTGCTCCCTTCTCCATTTCTCTAAATATTATCCTTCCTTCAAAGTCTCCTTCAACTTTTTCTTAAATTTATTTTGAGAAACAGAGTGCAAGTGGGGGAGCGGTGGGGAGAGGAAGAAGGAGAGAGAAAGAGAAAATAACCCATGCAGACTCCAAGCTGTCAGCACAGGGCTCAACTAGGGGCTCAAACTCACAAACTGGGAGATAATGACCTGAGCTGAAATCAAGAGTCGGACACTAACCGAGTCACTCAGGTGCCCTGTCCTTTATTTTTTTAAATACAGTTTTGGTTTTGTTTTTTTAACATTTATTTTTGAGAGAGAGAGTGTGAGCAGGAGAGGGACAGAGAATCTGAAGCAGGATCTGTGCTGAGAGCAGAGAGCCTGATGCAGGGCTTGAATTCAGGAACCATGAGATCATGATCTGAAATGACGTTGGACGCTTGACTGAGCCACCCAGGTGCCTCAAATAAAGCTTTTCTTCATAAACATCTTCAGCGTCTAGCCCCTGTACAAAACAGTCAATTCCATTAAGATTCTAGGAACATTTCTGTTTTTGAAGAAAAGCCTTCATTGCAGGCAAAATAATTAACAAGCAAAGCATAGCCAATTGTAAATTTTATCAAATAGTCATAACCCAGTAATTTCAGAAACAAATTTTTCAACAAAAATGTTTAACATATTTGTTGTAAGAACTATTTTTTTTTTTTCCTGCAGAAATATTTACTAGGAGATGGGAGTACTTATCCGGTATCTGATTTGAATGGGGCGCCCGGGTGGCTCAGTTGGTTGAGCACTCAATTCTTGATTTTGGCTCCGGTCATGATCCCAGGGTTGTGGGATCAAGCCCCGTGTCAGGATCCATGCCGCCTGCTTGGGATTCTCATTCTCTCTCTTCCCCTCTCCCCACACGCTGTCCCTCTCTTAAAAACAAAACAAAACAAAACAAGTGATGCTGAGACTACAAAATCCACTGGAGCCTAGGGTCTCGGAAGATCTTCAAAAGGCCCTTATACCATATCCACTCTCGAATTTCCAAGTTCTGATACTGCCCCCACTTTCCAGACTCTTCTAAATCTGGCAGGTCTTGAAAGCGAAGCCCTAGTGAGCCATCATACCAGTTTTGAGTTATTTACTGCTAAATTTGAAAGAACCCTTGGAAATAACATAGAACACTCTCCATTTTTAGGAAACTGCAAAGCTGCGTAGCTTGATGCAACAATTAACACTGGGAGGCAGCACAGCATGGCAGGCTGGAAGTCCGATTCTGAAACGCAAGGAACCAGAATCACAGCTGTGTAACATATTTCCCAAATCCTGCTGTTTCACCTTCTGCAGAACGGGAATAAAAGTGCCCTACTTAGACTGTTGTCACAAGATTTAACCGTACAGCTGGGAACAATGCCTGGCCCAGAGTAAGCACTGTTTTAAGGCTACATTAGTAGGGCCCACTTTACAGCCTGCAAACTGCACCCTCTTACATCACCTTATCTGATATTTCAGTCCCACTTAGACCTTTTCCAGGACAGTGAAGAAACCAGGCACTCCCAGAAGCTCCTGAGCTAGGACCTCTGCCACACTGGTGCTCTATGCTCTTATGCCACAAGCCAGTTTACTGCCTCCGTCTGCTCTTATACCTCCTTTCGCAGAGGCAACTCCACAATTTCCACGGCGTACGCTAACCCGAGCGGGCCCACACGTGAATACGTCGCCCAGGACTCACCAGCCCCGGGAACGCTCCCCGAGCACCACTTCCGGTCCTGCGCAGGGACTCCTGGCTTTACAAGAAGGGGAGGGGCGGAGCCGGGCGGAAGTGGTCCTTCCCGTTTTACGTCTGAACCCAAAGCACTTCTAGAGGTTACCCAGAATGGTTCCGGTTTACGTTTCGTATCTTTGTTTTATTATTAAAAGAGCTCCCTTTCACTGTCAAAAGTGTACCAGGTGAAATTAAATGACATTGTCTTCCTAGTTCTAGTCATTTTGGTTTGAGATAGGAATTAGGCAGGGAAGGAAAAGGAGGCAAGCAGGAGAGGGCCGTTCTCTCTAATGAGTCCCGCGCTCGACTTCCGGTAGCCCAAAGACGCTAATTTTAACTGAAGTAGTAAGTAACATCACACATTCTTTCATTCATTTATTGAGACGCTTGCCAAGCTCCATGTTTTAGCTCGTGGGCTGTTTTGAGTCAGCATTCTGGGCGGGAAGGGTGCTGTTGGAATTAGAAAAATATGTAGTATATTAGTGATAAGTGCTATGAGAAAAGGAAATTGCAGTTTTAAATAGAGTTAGAAGACCAACGAGACCTGACTTTTGACCAGACTTGGAGGCGAGGAAAGTAGCTGTCCAGATGTTTTAGTTAAGTGTTCCAGACAAAAGGAACACCCAGTGCCTAGATCCCAAGGCGGAAATGTACCTGGCTAGTTGCGGGATTTGCAGGGAGGTTTTTGAAGAAAAGTGAGCAAGAGAAATAGGAGATGGAGGGGCTTGAGTCGGATAGGATCTCATCATTTACAGACCCAGATTTTTATTACTTAGAGGGTGCTATTCTAGACTTTTTAAATATGCAGTCAAAATGAGCATGTGTGAATTAAGAGAGGAAAAGGAACTTAATTCTTTTCTCTTTTGGGAATAGGGAGGGACTCGTTTTCTAACTTCTCTCACGGAGACTGAGAAATTAAGCAATAATACTTCCAGAAAACATCAGGAAGAAAAATGGTAAGTTTTATACAATTCTTATGAATGTCTTAAATTGTAAATAAATTTAGAAATTAATTGAAGGGAAATAAAACTGCATGGACTTCAATGGCAGGACAAAAATGATAAACTGTAGAAGCATGAAATGTATGATGCCTCTAAACAAAACCAGAAACAAAATTACTTTTAAATTTTTTGGTGCTTTCACTTAAAATGCATAGAATTTACATTTTACAGAAAAAGACTGATTACAACATACAGATGGAAACAGAGGTGAAGAGTATAGCTAGGTGTGATCATTTTAATTGCATCCTTTTGTTTGTTCTAAAATGGGCAACTAGAGCTTGAAGTAGAAGAAAAGCAATGAGAATCGTGCTGTCTCCTCCCCACCCCACCCCAACTCACACTCCTGCCCTCTATCAACCTGACCATACTCTCTGACTGCTGGATAGTATTGGAAGAAGAGAGATGAAAAAGGAAGCCTCAGAATAACCTCTCAGAGGGTTCCTGGGTGGCTTAGTTGGTTAAGCTTAGGTCATGATCTCATGGTTCCTGAGTTGGAGCCTCATGTCGGGCTGTGCTGACAGTTCAGAGCCTAGAGCCTGCTTCGAATTCTGTCTCCCTCTCTCTGCCTCTCCCCCCCCAATAAACATTAAAATAATAATAATAACCTCTCAGAATCCCACCCCACAATGGGATAACAAAAGGAATATGGTACCCAAACATCAGATAAACAAAAAGCAAGCAAGAGTAATATAGTTACCTCTACACATTTTGAATGTAGAAAAACTGAGAATTGTTGTCTTTAGTGAAGAAAGAAATTGTTTTTAACACTCTCAGAATTAAATTACGTAAGGAAAATGGTGCAGACTATATTTTGAAAGGTCATTTTTTACTATTTTTCAATATATATTGATGATATTGGTGAGTTGCTATTTAAATTAGTAATACTAACATAACCATCGTTTTCATTTTTATTGATGAAAAATTCAAACTTTATTTCCATCACAGTATTTACTGTCAAATTCTTAGGATGGATACCATTTTACATTAACATTTATATTTATTTTCTGGAGTTTTTCCCTACTGAAATAAAATTTGAAGAAATACAGCTTCTCAGCTATGTGGATAGGTCATCTCTGAAATGGTATTTCTTTCTGTATTTTCGTTCAGATTGTCATCTTTAATCTAGTTTGGGAAATAATACGGTGCATAAAGTCATCTGAATAAATCTTACTTGTTCTCACATTCTTTTTTCTTTTTAGTCAGTGACACTGCATACAGACGTAGGTGATATTAAAATAGAAGTCTTCTGTGAGAGGACACCCAAAACATGTGAGGTAAGTACTATTATGTACATATAAATAATGAGTTAATGCAACAGGATAACCATTTTGAAATCAAATTATCTAACCTAAAAAAAACAAAAAACAAAAAAAAACTTGTCTATAAAACCATGGGGGTGGCTAGGTGGTTTAGTTGGTTAAGTGTCTGACTTCAGCTCAGGTCCTGATGTCACAGTTCAGGTTCTTGACTTCAGGCCCTGCATCAGGCTCTCTGCTGCCAGCACAGAACTGGATTCAGATCCTCTCTACCCTTCACTCAGCCCCTCCCCTGCACTCACATGCATACATGCTTTGTCTCTTCCAAAAATAAATAAGCATAAAGCTAAAAAAACCAAAACCATTGTCAGGAAAAACTATCCATTATAATTATTGGCCTAGTTTCCACTTACCTTTGAGGATCAAAGAAAGGGTAGATAATTTTTCTCTAACCATAGAGTGGGTGGTATCTTTTTCTTATAACTTATTTTCCTCAGGAAATATAAATAATCATTAGGATGTTAGGTAAGATAACTATTTTTTACGTTATTTTACATGTTTAAATGACAAAGAAGGAAAGAGTTGCCTCTCTATATTCATTCAACATTTATGGGGGCACCTAGGCAGCTCAGTTGGTTAGGCATCTGACACTTAATTTTGGATCAGGTCATGACCTTATGGTTTGTAGGATCAAACCCCAAGTCAGGCTTTGCTGCTATCAGTGCAGAGTCTGCTTGGGATTCTCTCTCTACCCCTCATGCACATGGGCGTTTATTCTCGTGCACGCACACTCTCTCGAACATAAAAAAAACACAACTACAATTGTTTGTGAAAGACCTACTTACCAGGGCCTGGGAGTACTGTAATGGACAAGAGACATTCCTTGCCTTCATGAAGCTGATATTCTAGCTGAGAAGATGTGTTGGAGGAGGGAGGGGGGCCAGGAAGGATTCATTCTAGAAAAAAAAGTGGTTCTAGACCATGATAATGCCTTGAAAGAAATAAAGCATTGATCTAGAGACGAACAGAAAATAATTATTTAAAAGAAGGTGAAGGCAAGCCTAGCCAAAAAAGTGATACTTAAATCAAGTGCAGAAAAGTAATGAAGGCATCTCCATGGAAAGATATAAAAAGAATATTCTAGGTATAGAGACAGCACTACAAAGGGCTCAAGATAGGAATGCCTACCTCTTTTGGATGAATTTTCAGAAGGATGATGGTGTTAACATAGTAACAGAAAGAAGTTATCACATGAGATGCAGAGGTAGGCCAGGTCATGAAGGGCCTGTTAGGCCCTATTGAAGATTGTGTGTTTTATTCCAAAAACAGAAGGAAGCAAAGTGTTTCAGGTAGAGAAGTGACAAAGAAACACCTAAAAGACATAAATACATTGTTACAGTGTTTTCAGTAAATACAGCTTGTTCTTTACTTTAAATGTGTTTCTGCTACATCATTTCCCAATTGTTATTTTTACTCTTTTCAGAATTTCTTGGCTCTTTGTGCCAGTAATTACTACAATGGCTGTATATTTCATAGAAATATCAAGGGTTTCATGGTTCAAACAGGAGATCCAACAGGTAAGTTATTCCATTAATATCTAGAAATTAATTTTTATAAAATAGATAAAATATAAGCATGTGGATTGTTGTGTTGGGGTTTGTTTTTGTTTGTTTTTTGAGAGTGAAACTGGGGAGGGAGGGAAGGAGGGAGAGAGAGAGAGCGAGACAGAGAGTGAGAATCTTAAGCAGGTTCCATGCTCAGCATGGAGCCCAACACAGAACTTGATCCCTTGACCCTGGGATCATGATCTGAGCCAACATCAAGAGTCAGACACTTACCAACTAAGCGACTCATGTGCCCCTACGTGGAGTTTTTATAACCAGGCCACCTTACCCTAGCAAGAAATTTTTAAGTAGAAGCTACTGGTACCTAGTTTTAAAATAAAATCTGAACAATGTTGATAGTGAGGGGATTAGGGTTTTTGTAGAGTACTTTATTTTTTTATTCTATAAAGTGAAATTTTGAGAAGAGAGGACATATCAAATTTTATTTGCATTTAACAAGTTATAAAATAGCCCTTTTGTTTCAGAAAATGAACCCATTCTCAACTTTAATTGGTTACTTCTTTTGATTTGCTTGTCTTGTAATGTAGGTACCGGAAGAGGAGGTAACAGTATCTGGGGCAGGAAATTTGAGGATGAATATAGTGAATATCTTAAGGTATATCTCCAGTGCTTCAACATCTGGTTTCTAATGCCTTGTTATACTTGAAACTTTTAATACATATGTTGTAGTAACACAAGTTAATGTCATTAGTATACAAACTTACTTTTTTTGTAGTAGTACACTCGATAAGTGCCAGGGAAAAACATGGCAGTTCTTGCCTAAAATATATTCTAGAATCTCACAATCACATGAACCTTGATATTAAGTGAGCTTACCTGTAGGTCCAACCTGAAATGTTTACTCAGTAATGTACCAAACAGGCCTGATGTATCACTATAAAATTTATGTTGAATGACCTGAGTCACTGGGCTTTTCAGAGAGTAGGGAGAAAAGACTTACTGGTTGCCAATATTGCCCATTATCAGTGTCCAACTCTCATCTTCTGTTAGATGTTTGAATATCCCTGTATTAACTTCATACCTGTGGTAGATCCCAGCTAGGTTAAAGAGAAGTACATAGCATGTAACATTAGAGATTTTTATTTCCTTTGTCATATTTTTCTGTGTTTTTCATGCTTTTATTTCCTTTTTTAAGATTTTATTAAAAAAATTTTTTTAACGTTTATTTATTTTTGAGACAGAGGGAGACAGAGCATGAGCTGAAGAGGGGCAGAGAGAGAGAGGGAGACACAGAATCTGAAATAGGCTCCATGCCCTGAGCGGTCAGCACAGAGCCCGATGCGGGGCTCAAACCCACAGACCGTGAGATCATGACCTGAGCCAAAGTTGGATGCTTAACCAACTGAGCCACTCAGGCTCCCCTTAAGATTTTATTTTTAAGTAATCTTTATATTCAACATGGGGCTCGAACTTACAACTCCAAAATCAAGAGTTGCATGCTCTACCAACTTAGCCAGTCAGGCACCCCAAGAACTTTTTTTTTTTTTTTTTAAGATTTTATTTATTTCTGAGAGAGAGAGAGAAAGACACCGTGAGCAGAGGAGGCTCAGAGAGAGAGGGAGATACAGAATCTGAAACAGGCTCCAGGCTCTGAGCTGTCAACACAGAGCCTGATGCGGGGCTCGAACCCACGAACCGTGAGACCATGACCTGAGCCAAAGTCGGACGCTTAACCAACTGAGCCACCCAGGCGCCCCTTAAGATTTTATTTTTAAGTAATCTGTATATCCAACATGGGGCTTGAACTTACAACCCCAAAATCAAGAGTTGCATGCTCTACCAACTTAGCCAGCCAGGTGCCCCAAGAACTTTTTTTTTTAACAAAAACTAATGCATGTCTATTTTTTAGTTTTTGTTTTAAATTAAATTTTAAAAATTAAAATAAATTTAATATATTTATTCCCACTTTTCAGAGGTGACATCTAACAGTTTACCATGTGGTCTTTTAAGCTTTGTTATCTGCATAGAATGGTAACTTTAGAAATTAGAGAAAAAAAGAGATAAATTCTCCTCAATAAGAATATGTAATTTAGGGGACGTCTGGGTGGCCCAGTTGGTTAAGCATCCAGCTTGAGCTTAGGTCATGATTTCACAGCTTGGGAGTTCGAGCCCTGCATCAGGCTCTGTGCTGACAACTCAGAGCCTGGAGCCTGCTTCAGATTCTGTTCCTCCCTCTCTCTCTGCCCCTCTCTTGCTCACACTCTGTTTCTCTCTCTCAGAAATAAACATATATTTAAAAAAATGTTTTTAAAGAATATGTAATTTAGTACATTATATTTCAGATTCGGTTACATTAAAATATACCCAGGAAAATTCTGAAAAAAAGTCATTGCAGTGTTTATGTCAGGATGGTGGAACTCAGAGTAATTTATTTTTTCTTCTTTTACTTTTCTATCATAAGGAAACATTACTTTCTTTATAGGAGTTGGGGTTGGGAGGTGATAAATTCTAAGTCATCCTATTCCTGAATTACAAAAAGAACTTTTAGGCATTAATTAATACTGTCTCCACAACACTAATCCAGCATCCTATACCAGGAGTTTTCAACACTGGCTATTACAGACTCACCTGTAGTTTTAAAAATGTAAAATATTAAGGCCTTAAACCTCCTAAATGTAGGACTAAACAGGAGGACTAACTAGGATCTAGATTCTTTTTTCAGGTTCCCTGGTGATTCCTACAGTCAAGATTAAGAATCATTATTTTTAGGGGTGCCTGGGTGGCTCAGTTGGTCAAGTGTCCAACTTCGGCTCAGGTCATGATCTTGCGGTTCATGAGTTCCAACCCTGGGTCAGGCTCTGTGCTGACAGCTCAGAGCCTAGAGCCTGCTTTGGATCCTGTGTCTCCCTTTCTCTGCCGGTCACCCACTTGTGCTCTTTGTCTCTCAAAAATAAATAAATGTTAAAAAATAATTTAAAAAGAACCATTATTTTGTATATAGAGTTGAAGGTATGTATTGGATATTCACATATTCTGACCCAACAATTACATTCCCAAATTTTTACCCTAGAAAAACTCTTATATAAATCCATCAGGAAAACAGTGCAAGAGTGTTCTTAGAGTGTTTTTTTAGTAGCAAAAATCTAAAAGCAACCCAAATAGGAGCCCCTGGGTAGCTCAGTCAGTTAAGTGCCTGACTTTAACTCAGGTTATGATCTCGTGGTTTGTAAGTTCAAGTCCCGCATTGGGCTCTGTGCTGACAGCTCAGAGCCTGGAGCCTCCTTCACATTCTGTGTCTCCCTCTCTCTCTCTCTGCCCCTCCCTCTCTCTCTCTTAAAAATAAACTAAAAAAATTTTTTAAATAAAAGAAATAATAAGTATATTATTAAGTTTTAAGTGGTACGTACATTCTGGTACATGTATCAAATGTAACATTTGACTGGTAGTCACCTTTAGGAAGACAATAAAGCACTAATATCTTGTAGTTATATCTCTATTGCTTGTCTCATTAGTGTCCCCTGATGAATAGCTCAAGAGAGAATAATCATTAGAGTTATTTATGATCACCTCCTTATAACACAGTTCTGTCATCTCTTCAATCTTATCAGTAAAGTCTTTTTAATTCTTTTACACAGTCTCTTGTATAACAAATAGTATCATGAATGTTAAAGCTATAGGAGACCTGTGTTAGATCATCTAGTTCTGGGTTGTGAACTGACTGCCCTTGGGTGGAAGAACCACGGATGCACTCTCTATGTGGAGTACATTGGCTTAAGAAAAAAATTTTAGGCCCATTAGGAAAGAGATAAACCATTCCTTTTGCCAGACTCCCTAATGTTTACATTCTGTCCAGTTAATTCATTATCTGCTTACCCTTCTGAGCATTTCAATTATGAATAAATCCCTGAACTAGTCCAATCTCCCTCCCTTGTTTTACAGATAAAGAAACTAGCCAGAGTCCAGTATATATGTGAAGAGATTATGGGGATTTTGGTTTTGTTGTCTGCCTGATAGTTTTATGCCAGCATGCTGTTCCTTAATATAAATGTAAGGATTTCTACTATACACTGGTATTGCTAAGTATTTGTGGCTGTACTTCTCCAAAGTGAAAATGAAATTAACTGGGGCACATGATTTGATATAAACAATTTACATACCCGGTTTCAGAGATATAGATAATACAGAAACTGAACATTTGGATTAGCCCTAATAGAAGCTTATCAAGTGTTTTCTTTGTCCTTGAAAGAGTACAGGTCTTGTTTCAGTCCTATATTTGGAATATTTATATAAAAACACAGTTAAATTAATATTTTGGCCTGTCTTTTACAGCACAATGTTCGAGGTGTTGTATCTATGGCTAATAATGGCCCAAACACCAATGGATCTCAGTTCTTCATCACCTATGGCAAGCAGCCACATTTGGATATGAAATACACAGTATTTGGAAAGTGAGTATTCTGGTTATGGTTTTCTTTGGAATTTCAATGCAAGGGATGCATATGAGTGGCTAGGATAGTAACATAATAATGAAAGAGCAATATGAAAGCTAAATACACCAGAGCACATGGGTAGCTCAGTCGGTTAGTTGACTAACTTCTGCTCAGGTCCTGACCTCACAGCTTCTGAGTTTGAGCCCCACATTGGGCTCTCAGCACAAAGCCTGCTTTGGATCCTCTGTCTTCTCTTTCTGTCCTTCCCTCACTTGTGCTAGCTCTCTCTCAAAAATAAACAAACATTTAAAATAAATAAACTTTTAAAAATAAAAAAGCTAATATACCTGGTAAGCCCCCCACTTACCAGCCCTGTGTGTGACCTTAGGAATTTATAACCTCTTCAAGACTTAATTCCTTTATTTTGCAAAATAGGAGCCAATTCTTTTTTTCAGGATCATTATGCAAATTAACAGTTATATAATGGATTTCTTCTTATGAATAGCATTTTGCAGCAACTAACGGGTCTGAAAAACAGTGGCTTAAACAAGATGAGTTAAGATGTTCCCTTCTGTCATCAGTATTCTAAGTGGTGCCTCTTCCTCAACCATCTTTATCGTCCATCCCAAAGTTCAGCTCATGGTCATAATATAGGTAGTACAGCTCCAGTCACAACATGGGTTCCAGTCAAAAAGAAGGAGGTAAAGCAAAAATTGCTTGCCAGCTGAGTACGCCCCTTTTTATTTTTATTTATTTTTTTAGCATTTATTTATTTTTTGAGAGAGAGGGCGTGAGCAGGGGAGGGGCAGAGAGGGAGACACAGAATCTGAAACAGGCTCCAGGCTCTGAGCTGGCTGTCAGCACAGAGCCCGATGCGGGGCTCAAACCCACAAACTGTGAGATCATGACATGAGCTGAAGTCGGACACTTAACCAACTGAGCTACCCAGGTGCCCCTGAGTCACAGATTCTAAAGCAGGCTTCAGGTTCTGAGCTAGCACAGAGCCCAACACAGGGCCTGAACTCACAAACCGTGAGATCATGACCTGAGATGAAATCGGATGCTTAACCAACTGAGCCACGCAGGTGCTCCAAGTAAGCCCCTTATTAGAGAGCTTTCCTGGAAGACCCAGAACTTAGCAATGAAGCCTCCTCTTACTTACAAGGGAGGGTAGGAAATGTTTTTCAGCTAGACACATTGCCATTCTTTTTTTTAATTTTTTTATGTTTTTATTTATTTCTAGGAGAGAGAGAGAGAGACAGCGTGAGCAGGGGAGGGTCAGAGAGAGAGGAGTCACAGACGCTCAACCGACTAAGCCACCCAGGCGCCCCCCGGGCTAGACACATTGCCATTCTTAAAAAAATGAGGTTTCTATAAGAAGAAGGAGTGCCTAGATCCTAGGGAGGTGTTTAGCAGGCTCTAGTAGAATATTCACTAAAAGCACTATGCCTGGGAATTGTTTTTATAAATCAGCAAGAAGTCATCTTGTCTGTTTATTCAACAAATATTTACCATGCTCAATAAACCAAAGCACAGTTATAGTTTCTTTTATTTAAAAGTTTGGATTCCAAGTTCGGTTACTGGAAAATAGAAGACTCAGCAACTCTTATTTTTTATTCCGTATATATATGTTTAATTTATAGGTTAATCAGTGAAATTAATGAAATACTACATCCTTTAGTAGTATTTGGCTGGATGTAGATAATTCAGGTCCCTTCCTTTTATTTTCTCCTTTATGTTGCCATTTAGAATTATTAATCATTAATTACCAGGATTTATGTTACTAGATTTGTGACAAAACTAAGGAGTTAAAAACAAAGATTGTTGGGGCCCCGGGTGGCTCAGTTGGTTAAGGATGTGACTCTTGGCTTCCCCTTGGGCCATGATCTCACGATTTGTGGGCTTGAGCCCCGCATTGGACCCTGTGCTGGCAGTGTGAAATCTGTTTAGGGTTTTCTCTCTCCCTCTCTCTCTCAAAATAAATAAACAAAAAAGAATTTTTATAGAAGAAATGCAAAATAAAATGTAAATCTGTTATCTTTTTTTAAATTTATTTAATGTTTATTTATTCTTGAGAGGAGACCAAAGTGTGAGCAGGAGAGGGGCAGAAAGAGAAAGGAAGACAGAATCCGAAGCAAGCTTCAGGCGCTAAGGTGTCAGCACAGAGCCTGACACAGGGCTCAGACTCAGGAACCGCGAGATCATGACCTAAGTCGAAGTCAGATGCTTAACTACCTGAGCCACCCAGGCGGCGCCCCTCTGTTTTCTTTTTTTTTTTTTTTAATGTTTATTCATTTTTTGAGAGCGAGGGAGAGCACAAGTGGGGGAGGGGCAGAGAGAGAGTGAAAGAGACACAGAATCTGAAGCAGGCTCCAGGCTCTGAGCTGTCAACACAGACAAAGCCCAATGCAGGGCTCAAACTCATGAACCATGAGCTCATGACCTGAGCTGAAGTCGGATACTTAACCGACTGAGCCACCCAGACACCCCTGTTAATTTTTTTTTTTTTTTAAGTAATACTAGAAGTGTTCGGAATTTGAGTTGCACAAGGAAGTATAATATAACGCCACCTTTTCTTAGCAAATGTTTTAGACTAATTTGCCAGGAGGATAGAAAAAATATATTTTTTTCTTGGTGGAAACATAAAGTGGGCATCTTCCCTTCTCTTATTTTATTACTACTGTTTTCCGTTGTTGCCCAGATGTAAAAGAGTAAAAATACCATATTTAAACAATAAAGTGCAAAGTGGTCACCTACTTCAGGACCTTCAGTATAGGACAGTACTGATTAATAACAGTGTCACCCTTACATACTTTCTCTGGGTATTTCCCATAGTAAAGAAAATCTATGAATGGTTATATTAGACCCGTTTGTAGCTATGCTGTGGGAATACTTTAGTGGTAATATTCCTACCCATTCCTATTACCTGAAGGCATAAAAATGAACTATTATTGAATTTTGGCTCATCTGTGATAGAAAATCAAATCAGTATTTTATTGTACACTGAACTAGGGAATTCAAAGAACTATGAGACATTGTCCTTTTCTTTTAATGGAACTGTAATTGCTATAAGTATTTTGATATTTTTCAATCTGAGGAAATTTTTATAGATTTATATGGTTTCTCTTTCAGGGTAATAGATGGCCTAGAGACTCTAGATGAATTGGAGAAGTTACCAGTAAATGAGAAGACATATCGACCTCTTAATGATGTACACATTAAGGACATAACTATTCATGCCAATCCATTTGCACAGTAGCCATAATAGATCTGGAAGAATATTTGGCAAACTATTCAGAGGAACACACCTGTTGTGGTTTACCCAGTTTTAATTATGTCAAGAGACTGCATCATCCTTCTGCTTGTTTACAACTAAGATCTTCTATGAGTTGGTGGTACCAAACGGCCCTAAACAGCTTTTATTCCCACTATTAGAGCATATTCCTTACTAGTATCTAATGTATTTCTTTAGGTTTAATTTTTTAAAAGCCCTTTTGTCTAATTTTTTCTTACATATAAAGATTCATTCTTAAGGGCTGAGCCTCGGGGCACCTGGGTGGCTCAGTCATTTCAACATCTGACTTATGCTCAGGTCATGATCTTGTGGTTTGTGAGTCTGAGCCCCACATCAGGCTCACTGCTGTCAGGGTGAACCCACTTTGGATCTGCTGTCCCCCTCTCTTTCTGCCCCTCCCCCACTCGTACTCTCTCTCATAAATAAACATTTTAAAATAATTTAAAAAATAAATGCTGAGCCTCAAATCCAGGTATTTTTGAGCATCCTAATTGCATACTCCTGACATATCTAGTCCACATCCTGAAAGTATCCTTTTCCATTAGTTATTCACTTTACATAGTTAGGACAAGATAAAGAGATGGTCTAGAAAAGTCACTCAAACCATTTGCTATTTTCTCTGGTCTTTAAATTTACAGTAAAGGCTCAGAGAAGTCCTATAGTACAGCAAACACTCAATTTCCCAATTTGCCTGTGGAACTTTTTTAAGGCATATCATTTACAGTATTGTAGGATAGAATTCTACAGGTGATCATTTTGAAAATGCAATTAGTTGGTTATGAGCACCAGTTGTGGAGTCCTAGGCTGTGTTTAAATCATAACTCTGCCCCCTGTTGTAACTTTAGGCAGGTTAACCTCTCCAAGTTTTCTCATCCCTAAGTAATAGTCCTTCATAAGACCTGAGGATTAAACGAGGTAATGTGTGTAAAACTTCTGGCATGTGTAAGTGTTCTGTAGAGAGTAAATGGAAGCTGCTCTCCTAACATTTATCTCCACCATAGGGCTTTCACCAAATCAGGCCTTATAATTTATCATTCTATGCCACTGGTGTCATCAAAAACCATATTCCACTCACTGCTTGGATCACCTTGATTAGATTTTGGGTATTCCTAAAACTGATACCAAGCATTTCTTGGTTTGTATCATTTCTACAAATAGCTGATATAAATAATATTTTCTTTAGTAACTACAGTTTGGAAGTTAGCTTGCAATCTCCTTTTGTTATCATTTATGCCTTCTACTAAACTGATGTGCCAATAATACTAATAAGCTTTTTTTTTTTTTTTTTTAAGTAAGCTCTATGCCCAGTGTGGGCCTTGAACTCCTGAGATCAGAGTCACATGCTCTAGCTGCTGAGCCAGCCAGGTACCCCTAATGCCCTCACATTTTGAGTCACCCTTTTAATTTAATCATTTCATTTCTAGAATTAATATTAAAGCCTATTTTAGGCCAGAATTTGGTTTGACATTTCTTATACCTGCTATTTTTCTTCTTCAACTGAATGTCATTGAATTTTTTTGTCCTCATTCTTAAGAGACGTTTACTGTCAAAATGTTTTGTATTGACTGGCATCCCCTCAATTTTTATTCTAAACTTTCTTTCCTTTTTTTTAAAAATAGTTTTTATTTATTTTTGAGACAGAGCGGGGGAGGGGCAGAGAGAGAGAGGAAGACACAGAGTCTGAAACAGGCTCCAGGCTCTGAGCTGCCAGCACAGAACCTGATGGGGAGCTTGAACCCACAAACCATGAGATCATAACCTGAGCCGAAGTCAGACGCTTAACCCAGTGAGCCACCCAGGCGCCCCTCCTTTTTTTTTTAAGTTACAATATGGTGGGTATTTGGTTCTTAGATCTCATTCTTATAATGTCTTTATTATTTTTTAATTATTAAATGTTTATTTTTGAAAGAGAGGGTGCTTTTCCCACAAGTGAGGGGAGGGGCAGAGAGAAAATCCTAGGCAGGCTACATGCTGTTAGCTTGGTCCCAAACGCGGGCCTTGATCTCATGAACTATAAGGTCATAACTTTAGCTGAAAGCAAGAATTGGATGCTTAACCAACTGAGCCACCCAGGCAGCCAAATAGATAAATTTTAATATGTAGGACTCAACTTTTAATTAGTTTAGCAAAATTGATAGATTAATTGCCATTTCACTAGGGAATCTAAAAGAAAACTGATGGTTCTTTCAATTCAATTTGTACCAATTGTGGTAGAGGTAGAGATGGGAACTCAACATAATAACTGTAAAGCACATCCATAATAAATGATAGTGGAGATTTTTAAAAACAAATTACAATGAAAAACAAATTAGCTGCAAACATTAAATTGGTGTGGGGGAGGAACACCTGGGTAGCTCAGTGGATAAAGTATCTAAATTCGTTTCAGGTCATGGTCATTCAGTTCCTGAGTTCCAAGTGTCATCAGTCTCTGCTGTCAGCACAAAGCCCACTTCAAATCCTCTGGCCCTTCCCTGCTTACTCTCCCTCAAAAATAAACATTAGAATAGTAATAATAAATAAAATGGTGTGGGGAATATTGCTAGAATACTAAAAGAGTGTAAAGAGTAGTGTATCTACAGGAGTTAAATATATAATTAAAGCAGTATCCAAAATCATTAAAGAGTTCTTATGTAAATTGTGTTAGGATAAGTTTCCTTTAAAAAAAAAAAAAAAAAAAAGGATGGATGGGGTGCCTGGGTGGCTTAGTCGGTTAAGCGTCCGACTTTCGCTTAGGTCATGATCTCGCAGTTCATGGGTTCGAGCCCCGCGTCGGGCTCTGTGCTGACTGCCAGCTCAGAGCCTGGAGCCTGTTTCAGAGTCTGTGTCTCCCTCTCTCTCTGACCCTCCCCTGCTCACGCTGTCTCTCTCTCTCTCTCCTAGAAATAAATAAAACATTAAAAAAAATTTTTTAAAAAAAGGATGGAAAACCTCCAGAGGAGAATTTCTTAGTTTACAAACATGACAAAGGTAAAGATGGGACAGGTTTAACTATATGAAAATTAAAACCTTTCTTGCAACTATAAAAAGGATAAATGAGAACTGTGCATTCAAAAAAGCAATGAAGTATGTATGGGCAAGTCACAAGAGAAAAGGGAAAATGTTCAACGTCACTAATTGTGACATTGAACATTTACCAAATATTCCAACAAAATACCATTTCTTTTTTTATGAGAGAGAGACTGAGTAGGGTAAAGAAGGGCCACAGGAGAATCTTAAGCAGGCTCCAGGCTCTGCTCAGAGCCCGACTTGGGGCTCCATCCCATGACCCAAGCTGAAATCAGGAGTCAGACGCTCAAATCTTTGCACTATATTAGTTTGCTAGGGTTGCCATAACAAAGTACCATAAACTGGGTAGCTTAAACAAAATTCTATTATAGAGACTAGAAGTTAGGAGGTCAAAGCATGGGCAAGGTTATTTACACAAAGCTCTCTCACTTTGCCTTTTAGATGACCATCTTCTATCTTCACAAGCTCTTCCTCAGTGGGTCCCTATGTCATAATCTCTTTATAAAGACATCAGTCATATTGGATTAGGGCCCATCCTAATGACCTGATTTTAACCTTAAGTACTTCTGTAAACTGCCCTATCTGCAAATACAGTCACAATCTGAGGTAGCAGGGGTTAAGACACATAAATTGGTTTGGGCGGGGAGGAACATGGCAGCCCCAACCAACCAATCAAATCATAAGCACTAAAGAACACACAAAATAGTTAATTTCATAAATGTAACTTTGGGTAAATCTCACAGTAACTGGCTAGGTTTGAGGGGGGTTGCTAAATTTGAAACCATTTTGAAAAAAAACATTTTAGAAACTTAATTTTGGTGATGTAAGATTTTTTCAATGTTCATTTTCTTTCACCCTTCTAATCTTACTGTAGGAATTCTAAATTGCTCTCTGCACAGTCATTCACTGCCACTTTTACCTGTAATAGAAGAATATAGTTGACACCCATCTCCAGGTGGTTAGGATTAAGTGAAAATGTATGTATGATGCTTGGCACAATAACTAGCCCACTATGACTAGCTATTGTCCTCCAAAGACCAGGACTCCCTAGGTTTGCTTAACATTTAAGCGTGCTAACTGTTCCTGAACAGCTACAAATTTCACAATTTACTGTCATTTCTCCCTCTGAAATATTTACCTTGTATTTGGTGATGCTGGCCCCAATGTAAAGATTTAAGTATTAACAGTTTTAAAGCATCTTCAAATCCATCATGAGAAGGGGCTTAAGAAATACAAACTATCATATATAGTTACTGTTGCTCTCCTGTGCAAGTGTGAACAGTAAAATTAGGCTTAATTGTATGTTTGAATGTATACATTTTCCACCAAGTCTGGAATGAATAAGCAAGAATTTTGTTCAAGAAACATGGGAGGAAGGGTGCTAGGTCAGGATTGGCAATTACTTTGGTCCATTGGGGGCACCTGGGTGGCTCAGTCGGTTGTGTCCAACTTCAGCTCCGGTCATAATCTCGCCATTCCCAGTTCGAGCCCCTTGTCAGGTTCTGTGCTGACAGCTCAGAGCCTGGACCCGGCTTCAGATTCTGTGTCTCTCTCTCTCTGTGCCCCTCCCCTGCTCTCTCATCTCTCAAAAAAATACATTTTTAAAAAGTGTAGTTTGGAGATTTTGTTCAGAGCTCGTTTCCTGATACTTTTTCCTCACGACCTACCATTTCCTCTTTTACAGTTCATTTGGCCTTAACACTGAAAAGGACTGGCTTAATGCCAAATATTTAACTGTGTAGGGTCCTCACTTCCTGCCGCCAAGCTCTTGCTTACTCGTTTAAACTTTAAAAACCTTGAAAAATTGTTCCAATCCAATTTCAGTATGTGTGAGTCCCAGCCACTAAAGCCTTAACTAGTTATAAATAGGCCTCAGAACCTTAGCAAAAGCTGAAATCCAGACAATTACTAATTTAGGGCTATGTGATGGAGGTGGTGTTTTTGTTGGTTTTTTTTAAGGATTGTTTAGTAGTTGCATTCAGCGCGCAGGATTTAGTATCATGCTTCCCTCACTTTTTCTTGTATCCAGCGTTCCCAAATAACATTTTTAACGAGCATGGACGAGACTCTCTTCCACAGTACTTAAGTTGTTTCCTCAGAAGTAGACCGTGCACAACATGGCCGACAGGGCAGCCGTCCGCGACGTCCCCGCTTCCACTTTCTGTCGCTGGGCTCCCCACCCGGCGCCTGCGCACACTGCTCCACTGCTCGTCTCCTTCCGTCCCAGCGTCCTGGCGCCGCCCCGCCCCGCCCCGCGGCGGGGACGCGGTCGCAGCGTCACCAGTATTTTCGTGGGGAGCCCAGACGCTGCGCT